TCGACGACCGAGTGCTTTCCGATCGGCTCGATTCACTGGCACTGCGAAGAGATGTTGCATCTCTTTGCATTTTCTATCGCATATACCATGGAGAGTGCTCTGAGGAATTGTTCGGATTAATCCCAGCAGCCAAATTTCGTGAACGAACTTCGCGGAAAACGTCCCGATACCATCCACACAATCTGGATGCTTGGCGGTCCACCACCGTAAGTTTCAAAAGGAGTTTTCTTCCGCGTACAACCTCTCTGTGGAATAGTTTACCACCGGCGATTTTTCTGGACCGATACGATCTGGGGACCTTCAAGAAAAGAGCTTACTCCTTTCTAAAGGGCCGGCAACGCACCTGCAATTCCTCTGGTGTTGTGGTTGATCATGGGAGGCGGTAGATACTTAACATCAGGTGAGCCGCTTGCTCGTTTGCCCCCTCTTCTATAAAAAAAACATGCTACATTTTTACGCATGGTAGAGCCACGCTGCAGTTATATTATGTTTGTAGCACGAATAGGTCGGCTCGACCGGGTGAGCTTTCACAAAATACCAGCGAGAAAGAGCATCGTAATACTGCTGTGTTTCTTATGGTGAGTGTAGAAATCCGGAGACCCGTTTTAGTGGATACGAGGCATTCTATCTTATTCCTCAGGGGTGACAACGCAACCACATTTTGATTCTTAATCGATTTGATTCTTGTGTGCCACAATATCCACTTACCTGGATATTGTGGCTCACAAGAATCAAACTACTTATCCAATATACACTGGACTGTGTGTTCTTTTGTCATCCTTATTCTATAAAAAAATAATGCAACTACAGTTTTAGCCGAGTCATTTAAGTTTTTGGTGCGAATATTAGTTTAAGCTCTAAGTCTGATACGATGGTTTCAAAGAAGTCGTCTGTATTTTACTGCTTTAGGTCTTAATTATTTCTTCTGTGTACTTATTTAAAGTAAGTCATCATTACGACGCAAAAACAGTAGCTCGTTTTAGTTTAAATTTAAACTGATCTGGATCGGATTTTATTCTGCTTTAATGTCTTTTTTAAAGTCAATCACTTCATAAACGTGCTGTTTTGTGAGATCAATGGATCATAAATCTTATGTAAACCGTTGATATACATGGCAATATGCTAATTTATCATTTATAATACGCAAATTTAATAAATTTGAATTTGTACGTCATAAAGGATGTTAAAAATGTAACACAAAAAAATTGCTATTAATCTGATAGTAAGTTGATACTGCAGTCTATATACATCTGCATCCAACTTCCTGGCTGCGGATGCGCTGTCTGAAATAGTTAAAAGGGTTGTACCTACCCAGACGGACTCCATTTGTATCGTGGGGAAATTTTTATGGGTACCTTCTGCTGCGGGAGAAATATCATACGCGATACATACCATTCGTCGGTATATATAACGTTGGATACTTAAACATAAACTTCAATTTCATGTCGAAATAAATATTTTTTAAATGAACATAACTAGAAATTAACGGTTTTCGTATTTTGCTTTAAAATAATGTCCACCAGAGTGAATTTCGGTAACGATGCCAGCCTCAACGTAGTCTAATAAATTTATGCACGACATCTTCATGTCTTAATAAAAAATTGTACGTGCACAAGCGTAGCTGTACACTTTACTCCTAACTATCATAATGTAATGGGATGCCAATCAAGTAATCGGTAGTATATTTAGCTGTACTAGCATAGGTTTAGTCTGAAAAGGAAAGAGTTGTTTAAACGATAGAGAGAACGTAAAGCGTCAGAGACTTTACTACATGTTTCAAAGACATAGACCCCCCAGCTCAGAGTATTATCAATATCGAGACTAAGATTTTTAACAGAACAAGAATGGTATTAAGCAATACTTTCACTACTTTCATCATTTGATCAAACATCTCACTCCAGTGTCAATAAATATGTTTTGATTTCGTATCATAATAACATAACTACAAACAAAGCCTACGTATATACGTTGAATCACGTAAGGAATAAGACAGTTCATATAGTCAATACGATATAAACAAATTCATATAGTAATACTTCGAGGCTTTAACTAAATATTATTCCGTCGAAAAAAGATTTAGACAGAGGGGTAGACTCACAAAACCATTAAACCCTTTCTCTTGTATCGTCCCCAAACAGAAATCAAAATTTATAGGCAATGCAAATATTTCATCCGAGTGGGAATCAAACCCTTGTCCCGCTACACCGCAGCAAAACTGCTGGCACCACCAAGTCGACAATGTATTGTAACAATGCTTAATTTGGATTTTCTAAAGCTGTGAGTGTTCCCACAAAACAGATAAAAACCGTATAGGTGGCTAAACTTTTTATACAAACGTAATGTAAGCATAAAATGCAACAAAAGAGATACGGGTAATACGTTCAAAAGCGTTATATATGTATTGTATACGTGCTGCTAACACTGTTAAATTTCAGCAATAATTTTTCAATACTAAAACATAATATCATCATTTTAATAAAAGTTCTATAACCTTAAATATTAATTCTAAATAAATTGGTTGACATACTTCGTTAAAAAGCAATTATGACCTATATATTTTTTTTTAAATTGGGTGACAAGCTAGCACAGATTCCACCTGATGGTATGTGCATGCTCTGGGTCACGGACTTCCACATTTATCCCAAATTACGGACTAAGATGGAATGCCTCGATTCCAGTAAAAAAGGTCTCCGGTTCTCTACACTCACCATACGAATTACAGCAGCATTAAGCTACTATTTTACGTTAGTATTCTCTGAGAGCGTTGTCCTTCCCCGGTCGAGCCGACCATACTACTAATATACCTGCAGCATGGCTCTACCACCATGTAGTATTTACAATGCACATGAAAAATCTACGATTAAAATATTATGATTAACACTTTGGTCAAAATTCTGACAAATGTTATTATCATTCTTCATTATAGCTCTTCACATGTCCACTGTTGAAAAAGGTCTCTACCAGAAATGCCACGAACCACAGTCCTGAATCACCTGCATCCATTGACTAACAAAGATACGAGACATTTTTTCTTAAAATTTATTTTTATTTTTCTACATTGTATCTTTGTTACGCTACACACTTCTCCCAGTGATACTGTTGCAAATATTATTCTACGTTTTTCTCTGCAAAATAATTGTTCACGAATGTCATTGCCTCCTCATCCGACGAAATAATTTGTCCTGTGAGCCAATTTTTAGATGAGGGAACAGAAAAAATACTTAGGGCTAAATCAGGTGAGTAAGGTAGATGGTCAAGCAGTTGAAATCGTAATTCGGGGATTTTGCCTTGACCACCGCTGAGGTGTGAGACGGCGTGTTTTCATAGAAAATCAGGTTTTACTTTTTCTGCCAATGTAGCCGTTTTTCGACAATTTTTGCCTACAATTTGTCAAGTAATGATCGTATTGTTACGAACTTAGGGTTAGTGACAATTAAAAACTGCTGGCTGTATTACCAAAATTGAAACTTTAATTATCAATCAATAATTAACATAAAACACACTTATAATTAATCACACTTAACACTTTGGTTCACTTTATTTCGCTCTAAAATCTTCGCTTGTATTGCCAATTCAATACTGACTCCGTCGCGGTTCTTAACACCTTTATATAGGACCTTTTTCACTGAAACACATACCGGTCCTAACCGACTGAGTGTATAAAGTTCTCTTCTAGTTCTGCCACTCGACACTAGATGGTGCTGGAGATGGAAAGTTCTAGCATGGCATTTTATAGAAAGCTGTCCTCGTTCTGCTACCCGACATTAAATGGCGGTAGGGGCATTAATTATGGCTTACAACAGTATTATTCCTTCTTGAAGATAGTTAATTAAGATAAATCCATAACTATCTCAAAAAACAATCACCATCACTTTCCTAGCTAAAAAAAAAACAGATTTATCTTTTTTTTGTGGAACTGGTACTTTACCTTACCTTTTGTAAGCCACTGTTTCGAATGTAGCTTTGATTTGGGCGTATGATTTTTTATCCAAGTTTATCTGTATTTAATCGCCAAAACTTGGATGTATTGCGTCTAAGCTGCGCCAACAGCGCATTGAAAATGTTCTTTCTTTGTGAAAAAACGTGGCATCCAACGCGTTGATAGCTTTTTCGGGCCTAAATCTTGATTTAATATTGTGACAAGCACGATATTTATAGCCTCTGCTATCTATATCACTTTAATTTGGCGGTTGTCTAGCACCTTTTGATGAACTTTAGCGACGTTATCATCAGTAGTTTCAATTTTTAGACATTCCGAATGTTAATCGTCTTCCAAGCTCTCATCGCCACGTTTAAGTATAGCAACCTAAAATTTCGCTATGATAATTGATGCTGCAGGGTCTAAATACAGATAGTCTAACTCATTTTTAATTTTAGTAGGTGTATTACCTTTCAATAACAAAAATTTAATGACAGTTCGATACTTAATTATTTCCTTTTTTAGAAACACACTAACATCGACTCACTGAAACGACTGTCAAATAACAACTACGTTTACAAAGGAGGAGAGTTGGAGTCAAGGAGGTTATAAATATATAGGGAGTGAGCGCCTGGAACATTGAAACCGTTCTTCATTTTCCTTAGATAGAGAGGCAACGAGTTTGGTATTATATCTCCTTCTAGCATTAATAAATGTTTACACAAAATAAAAAATAACCAACATTTAGGCAGTTATTGAGTTAAAGTAGTATTTTAGACGTATGCTTGAACGAATCTTACATTTTTATCGCATATTATAATTGGTACATTCCATATTGTATTCCAATTAAGCATATTATTAAGTTACACGAAAAAAAAAACATTAAAACACGAATGTACTTTCCCTGAAAACTATGGGGTGCATTTTATGCTATAGATGACAAACCTATTTTAAAATTTGACGTTGTTAAATGCATAAATATGGCGCTATTGGCTTCTATTCTCTGTTTGACTTGTCATCAGCGAATGTGATTTAATTTATTTAATTAATATTGCAGAACTTTTCGGGTTTTCTAGTGAAAATGGTATTTTCGTGTTGTGTGAAAGGTTGTAGAAGTGAAAGTTACCCTGGATGTGGTTTGTCATTCCATAGGTAAGAAAAATTTATAGAGTATATTGTGATATGTTCACACTTTCGTAGTTTTAATATTGTTTTTAAGTCTGAATACAGCATCTGCTATTTTTCAATTTTGATTATGGAGATCTCCTGTTATTCTCAGATATATATTTTGCTACCGTTTCGTATATTTCAAAGAAAATTATATAGAATGTTTTGTTGGTAAAGTGACCAATAATAAGAGTAAAAACAATAACTTTGAATATGAATAACACAATTGACGAAAAAGTGTTACATACATACATAAACCAAAACTCACGCCTTTTTCCCATGGCGGTAGGCAGAGACCACAGAGTGCCAACTGCTACGATCCAAAAGTAATTTTTTTTAGTGAGTAGTATAAGATGTGTGAGAAGGACCTTGGCCTAATTAAAATGTAATCTAGTCCTGATTTCAATTACCTGCGGCATTATAGATATTATTTTTTTCTAACTTCTATTATTTGATGAAGTCACAGTTAATAAAATGATTTATAATATGAATGTCACGTCTTTCTTTATCTCAATCCCTTCAAGGAAGTTGGGTACTCCCATGTTAAGAAATACGAGAAAATAAGCTGGAAGCATTTATTTTCATAATTATTATTATATATCTATATTTGTTTAAGTTTCCCGGTGAAGGAAGATGCACTGAAAGCATGGCTCAAAGTAGTTCCGGTAAAAGGATCTACTAAATACAAAAAAGTTTGCTCTAACCATTTCAAAAGTCAGGATTTTGTTATCCAAGGAGCCAGAAAGCGCTTAACAGCCAATGCAGTGCCATCAGTTCTAGTAACGGTATGTATTCATTTTAATATAAATGTCATAATACTTCTTATAAATTATAGTAACTACAGTTGAAGCAACAATGTGGCATAGATTAATAAAAAAATGGAAGAACAAAGTTTGAAATTCATTGTACAATATTTAACCCGAGCTAAAATTATGATAATTTTTCTTTCTAGTTTTCTTGTATCATCAATCAATTAATTCCATCTTTCTCTCTGCTGGACATAATATGTTATTCCATAACATATTAAAATAAACATAAATAAATAAATAGTTAACAACTTCTAGTCCTGGTTAATTACTTATGTTTCTATTACATTAAATGATATTACTATTCCATTAAATTATACTAATTTAATTCTTGAAGTGTAATTTAACAATTCATATTATTTTAGATGCCCATGGAAACTGTGAAGGTGATCAGTAATATTCAAATAAAACCACCAAACATCATGGCTCACCAAGATGTTCCAGCTAATTCAATGAAAATTGATATATGTTACGAGCCAGTGCCAAATACATCTTCTCAGGAAATCACGTTAAGAAAGCGACCATTATCTGATTTGAGCCCTTCACTCAATATTCCCCAGTCAAATAAAAGGAAATGTGTCGCGCATAAGTATGTACAAACATCAAGAGGTAAAGAAAATAGTCAAATAAAAAAGAGAAGTTAACATTCTTAAACAAAAATTAAAACGCAGAGATTTGAAGATTACGTCGATGAAAAATCTTCTTAGTGTAGTGAAAAAAAAGGACTATGCATTATGAAGATATTGAGAGTATCATTAGAGATCATTTTTGCAATATTTATTCAGAATTTAAACCTAAAAATAAATCTAAGATATCACCAGGTGTAAGATATAGCAAGGAACTTAAGCAGTTTGCTCTAACTCTTAAATACTATTCTCCACGGGCATACAGATTCTTGCGAACATGCATTAATTTGCCACATCCTGCTACAATTCGCAAGATACTTTCTTCTGCAGAGTGTAATGTCGGTTTCCTTAAGGAAGTTTTTGAATTTTTAAAATTAAATGTCCAAACGAATCCCGCTTTAATTCATGTTGTCCTGATTTTTGACTCAATGGCTATTAAATCGGAGCTCGTGTATGAGAAAAACTCAGATAAAACTTGGGGTTATGTTGATTTGGGTGGAATTGAAAATGTAGATTCCTATGAAGTGGCGAAAGAATCTTTAATTTTTCAAATAGTGTCTTACACAAGTAGGTTCAAATGCTGTATAGGCTAATTTTTAATAAACAAAATAACAGCTACTATCCAGTCGCAGTTAGTTCATACAGCTATAAAAATGTTGCATGATATCAACATAATCGTTCATTCGATAACATGTGATGGTACTGTGGTAAATCTAAGAACATTTGAACAGCTCGGGTGCGTTTTTGATGTTCCTAATATTAAGTCAAATTTTAAACATCCTGATGGAGTAACTGAGGTGCATTGTATATTTGACCCATCTCATATGCTGAAACTTGCTCGAAACACTTTAGGTGAATTCCCTATGAAATCTAATTTAGGCATTATATCATTTGAATATATTAAAGCTTTAAATAAATTACAAGAGTCTGAAGGTTTTAGGTTTGCGAACAAATTAACAAATACACATGTTAACTTTTGGGGGAATAAAATGAATGTAAAATTAGCTAGTCAGTTGATAAGCGTCTCTGTAGCTGACTCGATTGATTTTTTAAGGGTCAGCGGAAACAAAAAATTTCAAAATAGTGAAGCTACTGTTGATTATATCCGACATTTAGACAAAGCTTTTGATTTGATGAACGGCAAAAATCCAATAGGTAAGGGATTGAAAGCTCCACTACCTTGAAAAATATAACCTTCTGGGAACCTATTTTTGAAGAAATACGTAATTTCTTGCTTAATTTAACAATTGAGGGTCAAAGTATAATGCAACATCGTAGAAAAACATTCGCTTTAGGTTTTTATGTGAATACGATAAGCTTTTCAAATTTGACGAAAGATTTACTGACACGTACCATAGATCCTATGAAATATTTTTTAACTTATAAGTGCTCACAAGATCATATTGAGATGTTATTTTCCTGCATAAGGGCCCGAGGTGGTGGCAATGACAATCCAAATGCATTGCAACTGAAATACACATTACGTAAATTACTTTTCAAAAATAGTGTAATGCCAAGCGTAAATAGCAATACTTACGATAGTGACTATGAATTAACTCCAATTTTAGAGCTTAGGTCTCCTCAACGTGCAATGCAATTAGAGTCGATTGAACAAGAGAATGAAAGTAAAACATTGATTTCATTGATAAACAATGTCTCGCTTTCCATTTATCAAAATAATATATTATATTATATAACTGCTTGTATTGTTAAGAATCTCCACAGTAAAATAACATGTCAAAATTTGATAAAATACATAGGTAAAAATGTTGACCACTTATACACAATTGATGTTAATAATCATTCAGCGTTTACTGCTTTTGTAAATAGAGGCATGCTATTTTTTCCATCACAATCTGTGTTCCAACTGGTAAAGTTCACCGAAAGAACATGTAAACAAATAGATTTAAACTCTATGAAACAGCACTATAAAAAAGGATCATACAAATAGTAATGCAGCATTTTTCTGATAAAATTTTATCTATGTTTCCACATTCTCTAAGCCAGGGTATTGATTGCGGAGACTTGCATAGTATTCAATTGCTAAAATCTATAGTGATAAGTTTCCTGAACATGAAGATATAGCACCATCAAAGGTCTAGGACCATGAAATTGCGGGATTCCAAGAATGTATCCCGACAAAAATTACATAAAACCATTTTGTTTAGTAACCTATAAATCTTTTAATAAAAAAATTAATAAAACTCGTTGTTTTTTTTACCCTTAAAAATTTATTTCGGCTAACCAGGAAGCCCATGTGACATGTTGGCTCCTGTGGTGAAACTGGTGTGGTAAAGATGGTTCAAACCTAGCCATCTATTAGGCAAACATCGTGACTGAGAAGAAATTGAGTTTCATATAAGCTTAAATTCTATTAATAAGTATGCTTGGTTGAGTGTGATTTGTTTGATCGCTAAGGTTACCGTAAGGTTTGATACCGTAGCGAAGCAATATTATAATCAAAATAATAAACGGGGTTTAATTATAACACTTCAGCGCTTTACATATTGAAAAAATACGCATTCCGTTTTCTGTAACTCTGTAAGTACATACTATTAATATCCTCAAAATATTGTATCATGGACACTCCATTAGAAAGAAACGGAACGCCTAACTCGGTGCCTTTCATTCATTTCAAGGTCACCGATTTAGGACCGTTTTTCTAGTTTGAAGTGCGCACTCCCTATATATTTATTTATAACCTCCTTGGTTGGAGTATAATCAATAGCGAAACTGTCAAGATGAAAATACAGAACTCAATTTTTGAAGTTTTAATAATAATTTAACAAAATCAGATCAAGATGTTGCAACAGCTTTTGAAACACATTTTAAGAACATTGAAATAATACTAGTTTTTACGGAATTTATCGCGTATATTTAACTTTTTAAATACCCGACGTTTCGAACGCTTTACAGCATTCATGATCACGGGCAGGACTGAGATGTTCAACGTCCATATGTCATAGTTAACCGCGGTTACCATAGATTAAAATTTAACTTTTGTTCCGATCTATGCAGTATGAACTTATGGTATCTTGAAGTCTTGCAGTTGTATGCTTGGGTTGGGATTTAAGTTCTTATAAAAAGGTTAAAAACGACCCAACAAATAGCACACTAAAAACAACTAGTGACCTCATAAAGAAACACTCCGAAAAATTAAATCTGGACGTAAAATGGATAATACCTACGTGCGCCAAATCACCAAAATTGTATGGGTTACCAAAAATACACAAGCCCAATGCTCCATTACATCCCATAGTGAGCCAAATCGATTCACCAACTTACAGATTGGCTCAACACTTAGCGAAAATACTCTCACCACTCAGGGGACATACAAGAGCACACATAAAGGATTCCTACCATTTTGTCAGCGATATTAAAGACCTACATCTGGCAGACAATGAAACTATGGTCAGTTTTGATGTGCAGTCATTGTTTACATGCTTACCTGTTGAAGACTGCATCTCAATTGTAACTAGAAGGCTGGAAGAAAACAACATGCCCGTAGAATATGCAGTATTACTCAGACACTGCCTTACATCTGGCTACCTATTGTGGAAGGAGGAGTTCTACAAGCAAGTAGATGGTGTGGCGATGGGCTCACCTGTATCTCCCATTGTCGCCGACATATTCATGGAAGACTTTGAGGAGAAAGCCCTGCTTAGTTCTCCCATAAATCCAAGGTTCTACAAGCGGTACGTAGACGACACTTTCACAATTCTACCTTTAGATAAAGTAACTGCATTTTTAGCCCATCTTAACTCTATAAATTCTAAAATTCAGTTCATAGTGGAGTCAGAGGCAAACAATTCCTTAGCTTTTCTAGATGTGTTAGTAATTCGGAATCCTGATAACACCTTGAGCCATACTGTGCATAGAAAAAAGACCCATACAGATAGATATTTAAACGGTGATTCTCACCACCATCCTTCACAGTTAGCTACCGTGGGTAAATCTTTGTTTCAGAGAGCACGAGGGATCTGTGACAGTAAACACCTGGCTGCCGAGCTCCACCATGTCAAGCAAGTTTTGCATGACAACAAGCTTCGAGTCCCGCGCCTACGTCACAGTGAACGAGTGAAGCCGGCCACAGTCGAGCGTGTACCTGCTGTACTGCCATATGTTAGAGGAGTCACTGACAAGATTGGCTACATCTTGAAGCGCGCTTCCATCAAAACATACTTCAAGCCACTGAAGAAGATTGGTCAGTTTTTACCATCGGTCAAGTGTAATGTCCCTCTGCAAGATGCAGGAGTGTACAAGCTTGATTGTGAATGTGGTCCCTCCTACATAGGACAAACTAAAAGATCAATAAAACCCGCGTTAAAGAACATATAGCTGATGTGAAGAATCGACGCTCCGGGAAGTATGCAGTCTGTGAACACGTACAGGATCGCCCCCGTCACTACATCAGATTTGATAGACCGCAGATCCTCGCTAAAGAACACCGATTCCTTCCAAGGATGATTCGCGAGGCTATTGAAATCAAAAAAACATCCTAATTTCAATAGAGAAGATGGCTGGGTGCTACCATCTGCTTGGGATCCTATAATAAATAAAATTAAATCCCAACCCAGGCATACAACTGCAAGACTTCAAGATACCATAAGTTCAAACTGCATAGATCGGAACAAAAATTAAATTTTAATCTATGGTAACCGCGGTTAACTATGACATATGGACTTTGAACATCTCAGTGCTGCCCGTGACCATGAGTGCTGTAAAGCGTTCGAAACGTCAGGTATTTAAAAATTTAAATATACGCGATAAATTCCGTAAAAACTAGTATTATTTCAATGTGTGGTGTTCGCGTAAATATAAGAAATCATTTTAAGAACATTATGATCGTAACTAATAAGTCACTGAATTCCTCCCCTTTTGTTACCGAGTCCTTACTGAAACCAAATGTATTCGTTGTATCTGTAAAAAAATATTTTTCATTTTATAAAAATTTATCAAGAGATATTGTAATATATTTCAAAACTATTTACATTGTGAAAACAGCAGATTTATGGGGATTTCGATTTGGACAGTTAAAATTATTGCGTCTATAATAGATGACCAAGAACCCCAATTTACTATTATTTTCAATACTAGCATCGAAATTGGTGTTTTTCCTGGTTTAATGAAACATAGTAAAGTTATACCTTTTTATAAATCTGGCAGTTTATTAGACCCCACTAATTTTAGACCTATTTCTTTATAACCAAAACCCTTACAATAATTCCTAAGCTATAGAATGGTGGCTTTAGCTTATTGGCTTGTGGTATTTATTTTGACCGATCGGAAAGAAAATGGAGTTTCAAGTTGTGAGCGTGGCCTATAGGTAGCTATCTTGTATTTTTTTAAACTGGCTTGTTATTTCACTCAACGAAACCGCGTGGTGTAATTTGTTTTTGTTTGTATTATTTATTGTTTTTTCGGTATTTTGGCTTCTGTTTGGGAAATATTTTTTTAAATAAAGACTGACAAACCAAGAAAGTTAAAATTATCAACAATACTCAGAACATCGCGAATATCTCCAAGAAAACGACGAAAATGTGCGGAAATGGAAGAAATATTAGGAGTCGGACGAAGATGTTTAGGCAGGGAT